AAAAAAAGGATAATATAATTAATATTTGATGAACATTTGAAATGTATACAGATATTAGTTTTTGAGATACACAGAAAAAAATTRATTTGATTTGGGTAAAAATAACCATTTTTTTGTTTTTACTTTAAAAATAATTTTTTATTTTTAAATTAATTTAAACTTAAATATAATTTTAATTTTAAATTAATGACATACTTGAAAATGTTGACTAGAGACACATCTAGCTAATTGATGTATTAATGGCTTAAGGACTTTTCGAAATTCCAGTGGTTCAATTATGTCCAAAATTTCTTCTAATTCGTTAAGAAACATAACCTGTAATTAGGAAACAGTATTTGGTGATTATTTATATTTTCATTTAAATGCATGATATATTATTACTTCTTTTGGGGAATGTGTTTTTGGCCAAAACTTTAACAAACTTCTGATAACTGGTTCTGTAAGAGATGGATCTTTTTCAAGAAACTGCACAATACAATAAGCCAATTGTGGATGATACACAGATAAAGATTTCACTTTGTGTAATGGTAGTAGAACTTTTAGCAAGAATACTTTGTGCTCCTCTTTCAAAGGCAATGCAAAACCATTGACAATGCTAATTTAAAAAAATGTATTAAATCATAGTTTAATAATCATATAAACTAAAAATACCTTCCTAATATTTCTAAAAGCTCTGCAATGCCATTATGATGTTCTGTTTCATATATAAAACTATAAAAAATAAAAATGTATAAGTAATTACACAGTCATAAAAATATTAACTGTTTTTTTTTTACCTATAAAATATGTTGTTTATCTGTTTTCGTATGTATGCTCGCAAACTTAAAAATTTACCATAAATCCGATGCAGTATAGTTTTCAAAAAGTCTCTCTCTCGTGGATCTTCTGAATCAAATAGTTCTAACAACTAGATGTAAATAAAAAATATTTTCACAATTACAGCCCAATCAAAATAACTCAAATAATATTTATTACCTGAAGAACAAATTTCTGATCAATGTAGTTCTTAGCTACATGGGGCTGAAAGTCTTGAGACTCTAGAAACCTAAGAAAGAACTCATATACCAGTTGCAAATGAGGCCAGGCTGCTTCTAATAGAGGTTCATCTTCTTCTGGATCAAACTCTGCACCATTGGGATTACTTGATGGAGGCAGGCTACGAAATAAATTTACTCCAAACTAAAATTAAAAAATGTTATTACTTGTACATWAATAGTATACTTGTATTTTTTATTCCTTACCATTCTTACAGCTTCGGGATATATAGCTTCAGTAAGCACATTACCGTGATTAGATGACAAATAGTCTACCATTTCATGTAATGTTTCTCGCTTGATTTCTTTCCATTTTAGATCAGACTGTGGATCAGAAATAAAGTCAAATAACACACAGCACTGTTGCATTTTCTGAATAAGCAACTGTTCTCTTTCAGATGCATTGGCTTCTGCAATTAAAAAATGCTTGTATTAGAGAATAATACAATATCAAAATATTTTTTCCAAATTTCAATAAAATATTCTTAATAATATTAAAATGAGTAATATAATTAAATAATTAACCAAAAAATATGAAAATTAAATAYTGTATTCATCAAGTATTCAATGAATTAGCTACAGTAGTACAATTTTCAAAGTCAAATATTAAAACGTATTATATTTTACCTCTTAAYTGCATTATCAACAACTTTTAAACTAATATTTTTTTAAAACACATATTCAATACATATTATTAATATCAAAACTAAAATATTTTAGAAATCTAAAATATATACTGTATATCATTATGAACTAAAACTATACTGTGAACATATTTTTTTTACCAACGTTTATGTGGTCCAATTCCTTAAGATAATTAAATAGGTTTGAATATAAACAAATGTTGAGCTTCATTGCCAAATAACATAATAATAGTATTACAGAGTATTCTCCATTAATTGTATTAATGATTATATTTTAAACTGGTTAAGTACATAAAACAAGTAAAACTTTTTTAATAACTAAATATAAAATTAATTATTTTAATGATYATTGTATTAATATGTCAAATAATAATAATAGTATGCTTAACTTTAAGATATACTAATAATAGAACAACACAATATTCTGTTTCCACAAATCAGTGTCCTATAAACAGCAATTTAGTACAGTAGTACTATTCATATGTATTCACATTTCACGCATATTTTGAAGATTTATTATGTATAAGCATTAAAAAAAAAAATACCACAAATTAACAATTAAATAGTTCAATGGAGTTTTAAAATTGAATGGTTTTTAGTTTAGCAATTTTATCTTCACAAGGAACATTGTATGTGCTATGTTAATAGGTGTTGGCAATCTAGTAATAGTCTGATCTATAAATTTAAACTAGATTCAAGACTAGAATTTTGAAATTTTTAGAAAGGAGCTACTTCATAAGAAATTTTCCGAAAAAAATAAATTTGACCAGATTTAATATATTGTTATAGACACAATTATGGCAAGATAAAATATCATTGGCATTAATCCATTTGATAAATGTTCAAAAACTTTTATTATCAATTATTTTTATAAGCTAAGACTTCAAACTTCAAACTTCTAATTAAGTTTATTTATTATAAAAAAATCAGTACCGATCAACTTTTAATGTGATTATCATTACAATCTAATCTTCAATAATAATGCATGAATACATGTAAGACACACAGTCATGAATACCGGATTTTCCCTGCTTATTGAGGTTCATACCCTTTCAACAAAATTTTTCATTTAAACATTTAACACATAGACCTTCGCCTTCACATCCATTCATTTTATAAAGTTCACAGTCAAATGAAAACATCATAAATTCATAATGATAAACTGTAAGCTAACAATGTTAGTTTAKTAATGATACAATTTTTTATTTTTTTATTTTTTGTGCATGWCCCGCACTGTTCTGTATTAATTTGTGTTGAGACAAGTGACAAATACCAAAACGATTATTTGACATGGTCATTATTCATTACCTAATCAATATTTAATATTATGTCATTTAAATAATTTAGACTTTATCTATGTAGTATAATGTATAGTGTATACTATGCGTAAATCAAAGTTTTTGTAATTGTCAGTGATGTTATTTTGAGGTTTTAAACTTTAAACCCCCCAACCTAGAATTTATTTTTACGATATAAATGTGAAAATAATTGTGTAATATATATAGCCATCTGGTGTATATAATAATATATCCCTCCCACTAATTGAAAATTTCTGTGTATCCCATTAGTCAATTAGTTTTGTATTTTCTTATTCTAAATAGAAAGTAGGTAACATTGATTATAAAAATATTAACAGTAGGTAGGTATAGTACTATTAATACTATCTTCTTGGTGTTTTGTACGTTTTGGTAGCATACAATTCTGAATAATGAATATGACTTAGATTACATAAATAATTGTAATCGTTATTTGTTATCAATTTACATTTGAACAACATTACCTCCCCTTATTGAATATTTATTAAAAAGTGAATGGAATACAGTCAAAAGTCTAATGACAATATATTCGTATGTAATTTATAAGTATTGGAACTATTTTTGTTCAACTACTGGCAAAATATTGAAGTATTCTAAAAATAGATCAACGTTAGCTATAATTATAATCACTAAAAACTCGAGCTTATTAGCCAAAACAATTATTTGTGTAAAATATTTTATATTATAATTACAACTAAAAATACAACGTATATAATGACGATATTTATTTTAATCAATTCTCTTATATAATACATAACTACATGAGGAATGTATTTAGTATAGGTTTTAAATATATTTTTTTTATTCTGTAGAGTGTGGACCGTGGTTCTGAAATTATTCAAACTATATATTTTTACAATAAAATTAATAATGCAAATATATTATATTAAAGAGCATTTAGTATGTAAAGTAAACTATTGAATTTCTTATTTACGATAACCGAAAAGTAACAAAACAAAATAATATTTAATAATAGCAAGTTTAAAATTATGTAAATTTCACAATCAGGTATGAATTACATAACAGATAAGAGTTCTAAAATTACTTTTTAAGTTCAAATGTTCAGTATTAGTTCAAACAACTAATACGACTAAAGATCACAATACTGTAAATACATCTGAAGAATTTGTTGGAAAARTGCAACAGTGCTAAAATTTGAAATTAGAAAATTTTAAATGTTTATTAATATARAAAATAATATTTAAATATTTAGTTTAAGACTGACGTAAATTAGAAAATAAATCCTTCAAGGAACATTTGTTAGAGTAAATTACATTTTTGTTTGTTAATTTATAAAATTTTAATTKCGAATCTAAAAATAAAGTATAGGAAGTAGTATATTATAATATGTATGTTATATAACTTGTATAATGTAGTCACCAGAGCATATTTTAAGTAATGTTTTCTGGGTGACATTTCGGTATAATTTTCTACTAGAGGAACATAGGTATACATGAAACCAACCTTTCAAGTACRACGCTTTTTTTTCAATGGATGATATTAGTATCACGTACTTCGTGCGTTAAAAATTTAAAATATTCTCTGATACATAGTTATTATATAAGTAATAGCACATAAGAATAACAAGTTTCTTGCATGCCTAAGTATATAGTAATTGTAATTTTGTAGACACTATACATCATAAGTATCATACTATGCCAAGTAACTTGTTTAACGAATGAGCARTGTTATATTTAATTTGAAGTATCCACTATCCACACATCATACTATAAATACCATGGGCAAATTCTTAAAAGACTTAAAGTATAACTTTGAAAACCCTAAGTATTTATTAAGCTGGGCGTTAAATTATTAGTAATTTTAGATTTTGAGCGGATTGATAAATGTATTGATTTTATGAATTTACGATGATATATTTTTTTCTGTTTTCACGATTAGTACCTAGGTACTAGATAGATGAAAAATTTCATTGATTTTCAATTTCAGATTCTTAATTGGTGGAAAAGTTAATCTAATTGGTATTATTATAAGCGGTCAAAATTTAAAGCGTCATGAAAAAAGGCATTTTTAATTCATACATTTTTTCCTTTTTAAATCTAAGATTCGAAAATTATAATACCTATGTGATATGTAATATAATTTATAAAAGTCCTTAAAATAATAGTGTTTGATCTTTTGAATATACAACAGTAGACAGTATAATACCTAATACCTTATTATTTCTTGACTAAAGAATCTTAGAAAATTAGGATATGTAAATTGTATATATTAATAACACAATTTTCAAAATATACATGTTGCATATCTAAAAGGTTAAAATGACGAAGGGTTAAAACGCACAAGGTTGCTAAGCAATACAAACAGTTGTTATGTTCCATGTGGTTATACACTTATACTAGTGTGTCATAGGGGCTTTAGTACAGTAAAATAGGAATTTAAAATTGAAGGACATAACTTAAATAACAGTCAATATTTAAAGAGATACAACGTATACTATATAAGTTAAAATAAGTTATAAACATTTTCTACTAAAACATTCYGCCAGAAAAAAAAAATTAATAAATAGGTATATTCTAAAGTTAAATTATCTTCAATAAATTTAATGTTTATTTCAGGGAAAAAATATAAGAGAATGTTTTTACTACACTATATGTTTTTCCGTAACTAAAATAATATATACATCATAGTATTGAATATAATATACTCTTGTTAAAGAAATATCCAAGGAAAAACAAAATTTTTCACAAAATACAGTATTATAGACCTTAGATCTGATAGATCATCAATAGTAAGATTTAAGTAGATAGCAAGTTATTGGCGAAATTGTGTTTTTTATTAACTATTCAATATTCATAATTCACTATTATAATTTAGGATATAAATAATGCTGAATGAGTGTAATTAAATAAATAATTGTAGAAAATTTAAATACTTAAAATAGGTACTAAAAATGTAACCTAAAAAAATTTTCTTTTACTAATGGCATAGTTGTCGATGTATTTTGATCAATAAAAAAAAAAAAATAAATAAATAATAATAAAAAGTTAGCTATATTTAATATTTTAAATATTTATAAGTTATTAACATTTAACAAAAAACCTAATAACAAAATTCCACATTCCAATAGCCTTCAGCCTTGAACTTATTTAAACTTATGAGCATAGGCGCAAATTGCAGGGGTGCTAAGGGTGCTTAGCACACTGAATTTTAATGCTAGCACCCCGAATCCCGTGATTATAACTTATAGTACTATTACCAWCACATTTTCAAAATAATTACATTTATTAAAAATTCAAAAACAGTTTTATATTTATTTAATTATTTATAATATAATATGTCGAGTTTACGTCTGGATATATTAAACTGCAATGACGTATAAAACATATTATATAATATAATAATTGTGAAATCTTGGACACGTACCACGATGGGTCAGGAAAGACTATCTGACTTATCGATAATTCATATTGAGAGCGATCTAGTCATTGATAAAGACATAATTTTAAATAAGTTTGCTGCAAATAAGCGCACATTGCCTTTACATTTTTAATAAATAAATAATAATAATAAAATGTTTAGTTGTGTTTTTATTTATATAATATATAGCATAGTACTATTGGGGTGTGTGAGGGGCTTCGCCCCTCACGAGTTTGGTCTGTTTCCTCAACAATTTTTGGTGTTTAAGCCCCCCTAATGTTTTCTGGTGATTTGCGCCTATGCTTATGAGAATAATTAATTTATAATAATTATAAACTATTTATGATGTAAATAGGTAGATAAATGTCAATTAATATTTAATCTTTAACAATGTACTTGAAAACAAAAATTAAATGTATAAGTTTTTTTTAAATCTAATGTATTTTATAAATAAATATTTTAATAATTTTTATTTTTTAAACAAAATTAACCAAACCAATAAGTCCAAATATCAAGTTGTTATGTTATTATTATACACTAATATACTTATTACTTGTGTATTACTTATATACATGTAACTATACAATATTATTTTATGAAAACGGATGTTCTATAAATATCACAATGTTTCACATGATGGTTACCAGTGGTGTATCCAGAGGGGCTAAGAAAGCTTGTGAGTTGTAGGTTGATTTTCAAGTAGTTATTTACAATACGATTTTTTATTATTATTTATCCCTACTCTATGTTATTTACAATTAAAATTATGCCACTGGAGTAATTCCAATTTTAGTTAATAGAAGAAATATTTATAATTTTTTAAGTTTATCATAACCTTAAAAATGTGCATCGTTTTCAATTTCATTTTTTTGGAATCTACAAGTTTTATACATATACATATACGTGTGCGAAAATTTGGAGGAGATACTTCTAGTTTTAAAATTAGAACCTTCATAACTCCATCATTTATTATTAATTATTTCTTGTTTTGTACAAGTGTTGTCCTGCATGAAAAATGCCAACTCAATACTTTGTTCAAGTTAAGACTGTTAAGAGACATAATTGGCGGCAACTAGTTTTTATTGGGCCGCAGTTAGGAAACACCCGTCAGTCGCTCCTGTCTCATCAATTATACCTGTATACTTGCCGTGTAGTATTGCCATGCCCCAAGTGGGCCGCCAAGTACGTTTATTAACTTGAACAGAGAATATATGATTTTAATTTTGTCCAACTCGTTATTTATTACTCAGTGTATTGATGTTCAAAACTTAAATATTTTCATCGGCCATCTTGAATCTTAAAATACTTAAGCAAGCACCACTTTAAAATGCGAATTTTGGAAAATACATTCTTAGTACACACTAACATAGTTCAAGCCTCAAACCATCTTGTTTAGGCTCTACGTTGATCAGTCAATGAATCAGCCTGGAACTCTGGACATATTCGAATATATTATATATTATGCCCATCCCGTCCGTCAATGCCCATTGAGACTCGCCTATGATTATGTAAGCAGTAATATAGTGGTTGACTTGGAGGGGGACTGAGTATCTCWACTAATTTTTAGGATACTCAAGCGTACCACTCGTTATTTTTTAAAGGGGAACGCATGGGTCGGGTTGGCTAATTAACTACACAACACATATCTTTACTAACAATTATTATCATATTATATACTACATATCAAAGTTTTTCGTTGTTTAATATATTTTTAGTAAAAATTACCTTAAGTTATACCTAATAAATTATAATATTATTTTATATGTTATGATTCATTGATACGTATTTCTTTATTTTTAATTAGGCTTTTTAAGGGACTCCCCCCTCATAGTTATGAGAGTTTGATCAAAATGGTAGGGGACGCTACTTTTTTTAAAGTAGCTAGAGTACCTCTACTATTTTATTCCTAAGTCAACTACTGGCAGTAAATTATTATAATTTATTGGATAGGCAATCCATCATGYGAGGTGTATATATAAGTGTATAATTTCTAACTCTAAAGTTTCAAATTTATATCAAGCTAGRTTAGGCGATTAAGTTTATTGTGTCATCCGGTTGTTTTGTGAAATTACTATATAACCTGACTTCGCCTGAGAAAAATGATGAATTAATTCAAAATACGGAGTTATATAAATAATTTCAAGTGTATGACGATTTTGATGTAACCCAGTTCAGATTTTAATATACCATATAGACAAAAACCTTTGAGGAATTGTACTTGAGAAGTGTTCACCAAAGTTTTAAAATTTTTTTTGGTCTGATTTTGTTCGTAATAGTTTACTTATTACTTATTAAATAATAAACTGGCCTTTGTCATATACGACTCACCGTGAAGCCTGGGCAAGTGCATTGTTGGATCGCAAAACATAATGATTGGAGATCTTTCACGGCTAGCAAGCAAATCCAAACCACTATGGAAGCTTGGGCTTTTGGGCAGAAACGGTACGCCGGACTGTAGATTACCCGCCACCGCTGCAGCAGTGCCGTTGGCAGTTGTACTTAGCGATAGCGTACGACCGCCCGCAGATTTGTTCACTACCATAATCACCGCGCCACAGGCTCTTAACCGTTACACCCATTTAAGATCATCTAGTTCTCGTTACCATAATATAATAACACAAACGTGAGTACCACCACAGCTACTAGCAGAAGACAATGGCATGCCGCTATACGTTCGATGCGTGGTAGGTGTTATTTAGACGTCCAAAACGTAAATTGCGAACATATTTTTGTCAATTTCCTATTCGATACGAAATACATAAGTAAATTAATATCAGGTTTTAACGAGTTTATGATCTGTGTTYGATTGTAGAGTGTAAAAGATCTAACTACCTAAATATTATTTAGTAAATAGTAATAATTCGGCATCTCATGTGTTAAGAAAAAAAACACTACCCATCTAATTAGTAGTTATGAACAAATATGCTTGTTAACTTACACTAGTTGTCAGTTTCAGTTGCAATAACTCAATAATATTTTAAATATTAGATGATTACTGATTAGCATTTGAATAATATCCTATAATGATTTTTAATAACGATATTTAAATTAGCAGAAAAATATAAATACCTAGTGTACTTTTTATTTTATTTCAAATTCCATTAATTGTTTTCTTATTGATAACATATGTTAGTTATAAAGTACCAAAAAAAAGACCGAAAATTGAAACTAGATAATAATATCGCTAAAGCAACAACCTTCAGGATAAGTAAAAAAAATACATAAAATATCGTTGCTATAATGTAAAAACATATGATATATTTATGCATTAATAAAGAATAAAGAATAAAGAATTTATAATATAACCAAATAGTCTAAATCATAAGAGAATTCCAATGAAAAAAAAAAATATAGGTGCAGACGTAAGCACTGTCGGAAAATCGTCGTTAAATCGTTTATCGTAGGTATTTATATTACATTTTAAATTAAACTGTCCGTGACAAGGTGACCCCACCCTCCATCGACCTTTTGGCATTTACCGAACTCGAAACGAAATTAACCACGAACATACAAGTTGTCAGTGAATATCATTTTCTTGGGTGTTACGTGATAAGTAGCCACCGAAAAAAATGTATAATACCTATTATGTCATTGTAATATGACGACTAAACTGTACAACGATCATATGTATTATTATATACATCGAATGCAGTTAACATTTTTACACGATTACGGCGGGAAACAAACGAGATAATATCGTTATGATTCATATTATTGTATACACTCTACAATCGACAGGTGACAATCAAGCAATACCTATATCATTTATTGCAATAATTTATGACGGAATCAAAAACTATTCTGACGTGCATACCAACAACTACAGCGCTAAGGTTTCTCAAACGACGAACAGTAAGATAATATAATAATAATAATTATGATTATAATATTAGTAATATGTGTTCCGATGTCAGAAACGACAGAAACCTCGCGAGTGCGACGGCGACGGTGACAACGACACGATTGCGCGCGCGCGTCCCGGACAAGAGCGATTTTACTGAATTTATTACAATTTTGATTGTTGACAAATTACTACAATAATTCGCTTCACGCTGGCGACAATTAATCGTGAAGACGTACGCGGATCGACGACAACGACGATGACCAAAACTCAAAACATCAAATGTGGTCGAAACGGACGCGCGCGCACGTGCATGGCGTTTCGGCGACGGTGTTTTGCGGACTAGCACGGCGTCTGTGAGCTTTTGGTTCGCGGTGGATCGATGGTGGCGGCTAATAGGTGCGTTGGCGGAGTGGCAGGGTGGAAATGACGGTTGGTAGAATGACAGGACGAGAAAGTGGTGGCCGGGATGAGCGCTGCCATAGGGTAACCAAGGAAACACACGTCGAATACCAGCCGCCGCCGCCGCCACGGTTAGCCTTAGCCAGTGTTGGACGAAGGCTGTGACGAACGCCAGCGACGCCTAGACCGCAGCGCGCAACGACCAAGCACGACGGCCGGGTGGCCAGATGTCGCTACCATCCCCGCGTGGGGCACGTGTGTGCGGCCACCGGCGTAACAAGTGTTGGTCGTGTGCCCAACCGGCGTGGGACCGGCACGTTATTAGTCTTAGCGCCSGTTGGGAGTGCGAATTACAATTTTCAACAAATTAAGCGATAATAAAATAACGGTAATAACTAAAATTGAACATAAGCCGTATAACACGAATAGAAGTCCAATGTCGTTTTTCGTGTGTGAACGTATGATTATCAATAGAAAATACGACGTATCTAACAATGTAGGTATATAATATGTATGCATAGTGTACCAATATATCACCTAATTAAATAGATGGGATAAATTTTACGATTGTACTATTAAATAGGAGGGTGGTTCAACATTCAACCTTTGAAAGCCCCATTCGAAAAAAAAAATACAATTGTTTAGCTGTGTGGGATCGAAGACTTCTTATCTCACATTGATGTTAAAAATGTTGGACCCCCTGAAATTTTAATGGATTTTCTTTTAATGTATGGATAAAAACTTTGATTATACTCGAGAGTTGAACTTTAATAAATGTGAATTTTTATAATTGTACAGTGACATAAAACATAAAACAGCTTATTAATTAAGAGGATGACAGTACATACTCGTAATTTGTTTCTCTCAAATAATCATAGACGAATCTACAGGGTGTGCCTGGTGTGCCAGGGCACACCCTGCGACTAGTATAAACCCGTGTAGTGCCCATAATACTCATTTCAGTTACAATGGTATTGAGTCTAAACATTAAACAATTAGTATTTTAGTTTTAATAAATTTTTATTGGTAAAAATATTGTCAATAAATATTATAGTGATAAGCATAGTTGATAAAAGATCAGCAATATATTCAAGAATAGAGAAAAAACGCCTGTTTATTTAATGCACGGCTATAGTCGTAATTTGTAGTCATAACCATAGTTATTTTATGTAATTTAATTTTACCAGTAATTATCATTTTTATGGTAATTGACAAAATGAAAAATGCTTTATTTCGTATTAAGTATTAACATTTAACACAGAAGTATTAAGTATAATATCATGTCGCCTATAACTAGATATCAGTTATAATATATATTTCATACAATTTTTTGTTATTAATGATATAAAATAAAATAATATTATATTTAATACAATTCTTTGTTATTAATAATAATAAAAATAAGATGTTATAATTGTTGTATTAAACTTCCAAGAATTTTAAACATAATTGATTAACAATTTAATTGTTGGTTCTAAGTATATGTCCAAAAAAATAATTGAGTAACATATATTTAACTTTGCAATAGTTGTAGTTTATTAAATTGAATAATTTTGAAAGATTACATGTGTATTTTACAGCATGAAAAATAGCATCTAAACTAGGTAATAAAAATTAATCTTAATAATATTATTTAATATTATTAATGTTATTTCAAATGGGAAACATATTTTAAACGTGTGATAACTGAGAGGTAGTTTGAACTACCTAAGGCTTTTTTGAGGTAAAGGCACACCCTGCTATGGATTCCTAGATTCGCCTATGCAAATAATCACAACATTGTAAATTTGCAGAGTTCAGCAGAACCAACCTTGAAGTGTTTGCTTTAGTGTACGAGTGAATTGACATATCATCAAACTTAAGAACATAATCTACATTTTTATAAAATGATTTTTTATGATATTTCAATTTTTATGACAGTTAAGTATGAGCATATACTCGTATTGCGAATTTAAAAATGCTCGTATCTTGTATTTAAATATAATGTATCAAGACACAGGTTATGTGTTTTTGTATTAAAGGAAAAATAATAAACAGAATCTTAAAAAAACTTTTCAATTACAGTTGAGTCTCAACAACTCAAATTTCAAGGAAGGAAAAAATTTAATTTAACTTTTGTAGTTATGAGTTACAAAACTTGATTTTTTTTTTAAATACGAACTAATTTGAGTTAGCTATTTTATTATTTTATATTTATTTATAAGCTACAATTACAATTAAAAGATTACATTTAAAATAATATTTCCTATGTTTAATTTTATCGGTGTCAACTGTCAATTATATTTGATCTAAAATTTGTAATTTATTCTTTACTGTTTCTTCCTCCTAAAATATTCTCTTTTAAAACAAATATTTGATTCTTATTATAAAATTTAAGTTATGACTTTGAGTTTGCTCAACTATTTTTTATATTTGACTTATCGCAACAAATATTGCTTGGATGAATAAGAAGTTTTTTAGGGACAAAAAAAATGGGAGTTATCAAGGTTTTCGAGTAATTAAGACTTGACTATATTTAAAATATCAATAGCCTTTTTACAGTTAATGATTTTTTTACTTTAAGCCAACGTTACCAATTATCAATAAATATCATTCCATTTTATAAATCTCAAGCCCATATAACTTATAGCAAAATTTATGAAGTTCATCAATTATAATAATGAAATATGTGTTTGTTTATTTTGGATGTATTTATTGACTTATTGTGCAACAACAGTTTTCAAAATTGTGAATGAAAAAATTTTTTTAAATAAAAATCTGTAAATAGAAAAAAAATGGTTATTCAATGACCAACTATAGACCAAGCTATATTAAAATGTTATCATTGTTTCAACGCCAACGCCAACACAAATATATTCAAAGGCGCAACAACACATGGCTAAATTAATAATTTAAATATTTTTACCTACTTTCGACCCACTTTGATTTTTAGTTCTATAACTAAAAATGTAAATGTATTAATTATTTAATCCTATCCATTATTTATAAAATTATTTGACAACATTTTTTAATTGTCCATTATATGAATTATTTTAACCTTCCTCCCCTTTAAGGTAACTTTAATTGTGTCTTAACATTTACGGATGCAATCAAATTGTATAATAGATTTTTAAAATAGTTATTTAATTTTAATCATCACATTACAAATTATCATAACAAATACTTACCAAATATCTATCAACATTTACAAGCTACATCCATTGTTTAGGAACTAATTTAATTACATAGGATTATTAGTGACTATTTATAGGTCTAGACTGAAGTCATAGATCACCAAACGCACCTGATATTTAATGTATATATATATATATATATATATATAAATTCAGAATAATGTACCTACCTAATAAAAAAGTTACTATAACTTAGGATTTTTTTTTATAAAAATTGGTTAATTGTATCGAATGAATATTAAATATAAATTAATTCAGTCAATATATTATAGCGCAATATAACTAATAAAAGATACAACTTTAATCTGATACTTACAGATTAAATTAAACCTTTTTTATTTTTAAATAATAATTTTAATTATTAAATTAAAGTATATTTTTATGTATAAGTAATAACTAATAATTATTAATATATATTGAAAATAGTATTCAATGAGTGTTGCAACAAAAAATTTTTAACTTCATACTTAAATTTTGACTAAAAACTTAATCTAAAATGTATGCTTTAGTGCATTGAGTGAGAGAATCTAAATCACTAGAAATTTATTTAAATCAGTAAAAATATATACAAATAAGTGAATCCATAGAAAAATAAATTGTTATTGTTATTAGGACTATCTGACCATTACAATATATTCTAAATGGCTTTCACGACATTTAAACTCTATCCCCAAAAAATTACTTATAAGTGTCATTTTCAGTTTATTGTCTTATAAATTTAAATATTTAAAACATATGCATACCATGAAGTGATTGTAGAACTTGAAGTTCGCGGTTGGTAGTTACAACATTAAAACGTGAAGAGTTTTGTCTTTTCTCTCTTTTTATTGTGATTGGTCCTAACTTAAGTTTGTTTATTTGTGTTGGTGGAGGACTAGGAGCAGTATTTGAATGTCCAGTAGAAGTGCCATCATGTACCTAAAATACATATTAACAAGAAAATTTAACTTAAAATGTTCAATAAATAGAAGTATTTAAACAAATATTAATGTATAAATACTAGTTACCATTTTACCAACATGTTATTATTTATTAATTTTTATAATTTAGACAAAASCATTCTAATACATAATTGAAATACATATGATTTAACTAAATCAAATATAGAATAATTAATGAATATTAGTTAATATATTTTGTATATTTACAAACAGTTCATATTAAATAAAATGAAAATACCAATAACTTATCTTTTATTTACAATCACTAATTCAATCTTTTAACTTATCTCATGCCCAACAAACAATACTTGGCTATTATGAACCAAATTTTTCCAGTCACTCAAAACAATAATTTATTAATTATGGAACTTCCTCTGGTATATTGGAGATTTTGAAACTATTTTTTCATGACATCAAGTAGATTATAAAAATGAATATGTACACTGATAAAAAATTATAAAGAATCAATTAATCTAGGCAGACTGTTCACCAGCCTCTGCTTTTAAGGATATTGATAGTATATTGATAATTTATAGTGTTATAACTTGGTTTGTCATATATCCTGGTTTTGTCGGGAATATAGGAATATAGTATTTCKTTATCCCATTAAAGTATTTCGAAACTGCACGAGGAGATTACAAATAAATAGCATCTAGTATCTAATGTTACTACAGTATTACGAAATCTTGATATCAAAATTATGAAGACTTTTATACAGTTATAACTTATAACAGTCACAGGTTGTGTTTGTATTGTATTTTAGATATTTTTAAATAACTTTTATAACAACTTATGTGGTACTATGTATTATACATTTAAACTATTTAATTATAAAAAAGAATTTAATCAATATAAATTGAAAAAAAAAACTAAAAGAGAAGTTGAACATTTCAATAGTTTATAAACAACTTAAAAATAATTTAAAATTTAATTATATTTAGAAAATTATAATTAATAGATTTTGAAAAATATTCAAAATTCTATATGGTTATTTGTTTTCAATTTACAAAAAAAAATTGGTTTTGTGAGAAATAGTTGTTAAAAAATATTCTTAATTATTTTGTTTTTCCTATTTAGAACTGGTTATTTTTACTTTTGATCCTATTTTCTTTTCAAAAGAATAAACTAGGTAAAAAATTCAACCAGGAATCACTCATAATGTTGAAAATAAAATTAAACCTTATGATTCCAAAATCTAATGCCTAGCTCATAATAAAAAGAATCGTTATAAAAGTTTAAACCCAATACAATATAATTTGGTTAACACTTTTAATAATTTATATATATTTAGTTATATAAAACGACTATTACAAAAATAGTATATTTTATTATTAGTATACACTATACAGCATATTATTTATTGCCTTAATTAATTATACATAAAGTAGTTTATATATTATAATGTAGTTTTCATAAAAACCTTTATTCCATGTCTACTGTCTACTATTTG